AAAAAAAAAAAGCCTTCAGAGGTATCTAGGTGAAAACTTTTCTGTGTCAAATTAGGTAATTTTTATCTTCAGAATTAGCAGGAGGATACTTAGTGTAGTAGAATAAACACAATGAAGTTGGGATTGCTGTTACTGATTTATCTTTATAAATGGTGTAAAAGTAGACAATCTCTGAAGTTATCCAGACTAGTATATTTTATTTACCTTTGACAGTGAATACTTGGAATTGTCTAGTTAATACAACTTCTACAAACATGATATTAAGCCTCTAGCTCAATGTGTTAGAAATCTTCAACGGATATACAGAGTTACTTGCATGCCATCTTCATGTCAGCTACAAAGTAGACACGCTTTTATTCTATTGTAGTCAGAGAATAACCATCAGACTACAACTATTTAGTAAGATGATCAGTAGGGAAAAATAAATCTATGTTAATGCCATCCTCAGTATCTTTATATTAAGTTTTGTAGCAAATAATAAAAATTAGTAGTTTGGGATTTGTAGTTGTGTGGTTTTGGTTTTTTTCTTTCAATGTCCTAAATGATCAATGCTTTTGGAACTTGGGAAGAACGGATTTTTATCAGTTGTATGATTATGGTCACATAGCAATTACTGAGAAATATACTCCTACATTCCCTCAGAAAAGGTCCAGAAGGATATTTCCCTTACCAGTTTTGTTTTAAGGAAACTTTCTAGATCTCTGTTATTCGATTTTTATCAGAATGGCTGCCAGAAGGCACCAAAAAAAAAATAAAGGTCTAAACATTGCCCATTCCTTGTGTTCAGACTGAAAAAACATTCAACTGATGTTGCTTCCATTTAAGGAGGAAGCAAACTGGAATAAATACCATAATTGCTGGTAATGCTAATGTAATGCATTGAAGTTATTTTCAGAGTTAAGTAAAACTTATTCTTGTTTTTGTTCTTAAGAGAAATACATATGTAGAAGATCTGATTGAAGAGGTGGTGGTTTCCCCAGAACAAGTTATGCAATGGATTAGAAAAGGAGAAAGTAAGTTGTTCAACCAATGTCAACTGATATCTTAGAAATGTGTTGGTGAATGGGATGTATCTAGAATCATAGAGTATCTCTATGTTTAGAAATCAATGTTTTTCAGATATTTTTACAATTGCTTTTTTGTATGTTACCTCCAATTTATCAGAGTATAAGTAAAAGTATTCTAATATTGCTTTTTGACAGAAAATCGCCATTATGGAGAAACAAAAATGAATGAACACAGCAGCCGCTCTCACACTATCTTCAGAATGGTAAAAACTTTTTCACTATTAGGAGGGATTTTATTATTTTTGAAGTGACAAAAACTATTGCATCCTCTTCTTCTAGATCATTGAAAGCAGAGAACGAAGTGACCCTGCGAATGCGAACTGTGATGGAGCAGTGATGGTATCTCACTTGGTAAGCTGCACTCCAAGAACTTATTAAATAGGCATTTAAGTTGAGAATTTACTGTTACCAGTTGTTTGAAAGAATTTTACTTTATAATGACATTACAAACGTGCTTTGTTGTTAACTTAAGCAGAAATCCTGTTTCTGATCATCTGTACAGAAGGAGATTCCTGGGATGTATCTAGAGTGTATCTTCCCACCAAAGAGAATTCTGACATGGGAATAGTTCCTCGACAATTCATGCTGGGTTGGGGACTGTCAGCTCCTTCTGAGGAACATAACAGGCTATTGTTGGAGCCTTCTTGCATTTTGTTAAACACAGCTTCCCCTACAATTGCTCCTGACTACTGACAAGCCCAGTGAAATAACTAATAAAAGTGAGGGCTGCTTGCTCAGGCAAATCATTATGGGATGCTATAAAGTTCTAGTTGACTTTGAACCAGATTCAGAGTGAGGCTTTTCTTCTGGTGTTTAATTTCTTCATTTTCTTATGACACAATGCCAGGCACAGAGACATAAAGCTGATTCAGGACAGGGTGCTAAATAAGCCCATCCAGACTCTCTTCCCGTGAAAGATTGGATCAGATGATCTGTGATTCTGTGAAGCTTCTTATGGCTTGAATCGGTAGTTAATACTTCTGTATTGAGAAATTGTTTCTCTCTTTTTGTTACTGAGGATAGGGGGAATTGCACTGCAAGTCTGAAATATTTTCAGGGTGGTGTAATAGAGTTCATACAAACTTGTTCTATGTCCATGTATTGGTTGGTATGTGCGCAGTAGCTATGGATTGCATCCAGTAATGACAGACCTCTTGTTTTTTTCTAAGTGTAAATTTACTTTACAGAATTCTTAGAGATTTAGAATTAAGAGGATCTAATACTAAATTGTCTCAGAACTAACTTATGAAATATTTAATGAATTTGCAGAACTTGGTAGATCTGGCAGGCAGTGAAAGAGCTAGTCAAACAGGATCTGAAGGTGAGTGTTAAATGAGTCTCTCCTGATGACTCGCCTCTGTTAATTAACACCTATGGGAGACTTATGAAAGGAAATTATTTGATCTATGTGCTATTCTGTTACTTACTGTTTATAAATAATCCCTTTTCCCCTTGGTAGGGCAGGATCTACTTGGAAAAATACTGAAAATGCTGTTAAGTGCAAACAATTAGATAGTAATATGGCTTTTCTAGAATAGCAGAGTCAGCAACAGTCAGGCACTGAACTAATTGACTGAAAAGGAATAAGTACATATTCTCCTGTAGTAAAGA